GGCACTTGCCCCAACAGCCCCTTAAGGCTACACGGGGGATCTTTGTTCTTGGTTAGGGTGGGGTGGGTGGCTTGAGTTGAACAAACATCGGACTCAGGATTTAAACTCCCGAACCTCTGATATCTCCCCGAAAGCTTTACCCAACGCGCCCACTCCCTGAGCAAACCTGACCCAGCCAGCAAACATCCCTGTTGGCCCTTTGGAGCGCAAACATTGAAGTAGTTAGCAGCGGTAGTTTGCCCATCAATCCTGCAGGCAGGGACGTTCACCGTAAGAAGGATCCTTTGCCTATAGGCACTGGGAGTTCACTCAGTGTTGTCGGTCCTCCTGTCAAACGCCTCCGCTGATTAGGCAGCCGATGGAAAACCGTGGCGACCGAGTTCAAAGTTTTGCTTGCTTTGCGCCCGCTGTGGCCGATGAGAATGTGTAAAACAAAAAATATATATCCGCTGAAGTTTGACGTTTTTGCGGTGGCTTGGAGATGTTGACTCCCTCGCCGGGTACCCAGGAGGTCGTGGGTTCGATCCCCTGACGATGCCTGCTGGGGGGGAGGTGGGTGGACTTAAACCTGGTGCAAAATAAAAGTGTATAATTGTGTTTCAAGAATGGTCGTCTAAGGCACAGAGTCAATCGGGGCGTGCGTGTCCCGGCGTCAATCTGACGAAGTGAAAATCCCCACGATGACGGTGGTGAACAACGCTTGCGACTCGATTGAACGGCAAGCGTTAAAATAAATGAACGCGAAGTTGATTACCTCCGCTGCGTGGTACAGGGGTACTCCTTTGTGTACGAACATTCAAATAACGAACTTTTAGAGATGCGAACAAACGCTGTCCCGTATGTAGAGTTGCCCATTCGGACCGAGAGTCATAATTTCAACCGCCACGCAATAGATGGCGGTGGTGGCATCTACATCTGCCGAACGTGAAGAACCAGTGGCATCTACATCTGCAGAACGTGAAGAACCAGTGGCATCTACATCTGCAGAACGTGAAGAACCAGTGGCATCTACATCTGCAGAACGTGAAGAACCAGTGGCATCTACATCTGTAGAACGCGAAGAACCAGTGGCATCTACATCTAGAGAACGCAAAGAACCATTGGCATTCACATCTACAGAACATAAAGAACTAGTGGCATCTACATCTGCAGAATTTGAACAATCAGTGGCATCTACATCTGTAGAATGCGAAGAACCAGTGGCATCTACATCTAGAGAATGCGAAGAACCATTGGCATTTACATCTACATAACGTGAAAAACCAGTGGCATCTACATCTGCAGAATTTAAGAACTAGTGACATCTACATCTGCAGAATATGAAGAACCAGTGGCATCTACATCTGCAAACAAACATTCCCACCAAAAAACATACGCCGCCATTTTCTTTTGTTATGACAAAATGGCCACCGAGGCACATGCCACAAAAGTTTGGCTACTAACGAACAGCTAACGACTTTTTATTTCACCAGGTAAGTCCCACTGAGCTACACTGAGCTCTTTTTCAGAAGCAACCTGGCCACACATTATAGCTCAACGAAATTGGCTTAATCATTATCGTGTGGAAATTTATAGCAGCCAAATAACTCTTTAAGCACGTGACGTCGATTCTAAATGTGGAGGAAACAACTGGAGGGGCCAGAGGAAATCCACGCTGGAGAGAGAGAAACACGCAGTCTGCGAATATACAGCAAGCATCAGGGTCGGGATTATAGCTACGACCTCCTGCATACCAGGCGAGGTAATTAACATCTTTGAGTCACCGTGATGATGATGAGAGAGAGACGCAAACTCCAAATACATAGCAGCAGGCGTCAGGGTCAGGATTGAACCCACGACATCCTGTACACCAGGCGAGGTAGTTAACATCTCCTAGCCACCGTGATGATGATGAGAGAGAGACGCAAACTCCAAATACATAGCAGCAGGCGTCAGGGTCGAGATCGAACCCACGACCTCCTGTACACCAGGCGAGGTAGTTAACATCTCCTAGCCACCGTGATGATGATGAGAGACACGCAGTCTGCGAATGTACAGCAGGCGTCAGGGTCGGGATTGTAGCTACGACCTCCTGCATACCAGGCGAGGTAGTTAACATCTTTGAGTCACCGGAGGGAGGCAGACGGGGGGGGGGGGGGATCCCCCTTTATCTGCACCCCCCTCCCTCCCGCCCTTTAATTACCCTATGAGCAATAGCGGCACAATAACAATAACATACTCTGAATAGGATGGTTAACGGCGAAGCACCTATTTATAGGCAGAGTCATTCAGAGCGCGAAGAGGGGGTTTTTGCGAGAATTCCTTCAACGGGCGGAAGGGGTCCAGGAGCTGTGGTAGGAGGTAGTGGAAGGCAGGAGATCTCGTAGTTTACCCCGCTGGTGACGATGGCTGAAGAACAGTGGACGAAGGAAAGCGAGGGAGTTGTGCAGAGGATAACGAGCGCAGAGAATATGAAACAATCGGAATTGGTGTGCTGTACCCTTCTCTGGCAATAAGACAGGAGTTGTGTCAAGATGGTCAAACAGCAAATAAATGTTACCTCTTGCAAGGAATCAAGTTACTGCATTAACCACACGCGGGAATTGTGGTGAACATCCAAACACACGTGCATTGTCTTTAATAATAATGTAATCATAATGTATTACATAAAATTTCGAATTAAAGCTTTCGTGACTGCAGGGATTAATCTTCTTGGTTCTTTCGGTAAAGTCACGTAGAAGGGAAGTAATAAAATAATAAAAATAAAACAATAAAATACAATTCTCACGACGTTTCGGCCACAACGCAAGCAGCCGTCCTCAGGTGAAGAAAAGGGGTTTCGGAAAGACAGCGTTCTTATTATGGTTTATTTTTGACCCAGCTTAAAAATACGCTGCCAAGCTTAGCAGTGTTCATTAGGACGCTGTCGTTCCGACAGCCCTGTTTCTTCACCTGAGGACGGCTGCTTGCGTTGTGGCCGAAACGTCGTGAGAATTGTATTTTATAATGTTTTATTTTTATTATTTTATTATTTCCCTTCTACGTGACTTTACCGAAAGAACCAAGAAAATGTATTACATTGTCTTTAATAACAATAATGAATGTATGGGCATTGTCTTTTAAACTGATTGGTCTACACCAGAGACAGCAGCGGGCCTTCTTCATGGCCTAGTCTCACCAGCAGTGTCAGACCAGAGGACAACGCCAAAAGGCGGACAGGACAAGGACAATGCCACGCGTATCAGAGCATTAATAGCTCGGCATCGACCAGCAGCTATACCATGGGGATACACTTTTTGCCAGTATCAAAGTACGATGAAAAATAAGCCGAGGTTGTGTACCCTTTCTGGCAGGAAACGGACACCGCTCAGAGGTTTTTCTTGAGCTTGCCCGGTGAAGATTTCGAGGCGGGTGCAGTGGGAGATCGATGCCAGACCCCCCACGACACTGCAGGGTAGAGTGTCGTGGGGGGTTTGGTGGCGACGAGAACCGTACGACAACCAAAGGTGCTCGTCGACGGATCGTGGGGAACCCGGCGACTCATCTGCCGTAAGGGAAGTGGTGGGAAGGGGGTAGCCACGCGGGTAGGTCCCTCGTCCCGGTGCCCATCATGATTCGGGGCTTCGAATGTTGCGAGCGTCCGTAGGATTTGGTCGTGGGCACATAACCCGGTGCTGCTCGCAAGGCAGCGGGTCCCGCCGTTAACACTGAACACCCGGGATGCCTTAGGATGCCTTGGCCTGGCCTAGAGATTCTAGCAATGATGCTTTGGCCTGAACCACAGAGATTCTGGTAATGACTCCTTGTTCTGGCCTACAGAGATTCTGGTAATGACTCCTTGTTCTGGCCTACAGAGATTCTGGTAATGATGTCTTGGACTAGCCTACAGAGATGCTGGTCACGATGTCTCAGCCTGGCCTACAGAGATTCTGGTAATGACTCCTTGTTCTGGCCTACAGAGATTCTGGTCACGATGCCTTGGCCTGGCCTAGAGATTCTGGGCATGATGCCTCAGCCTGGCCTACAGAGATTCTGGTCATGATGCCTCAGCCTGGCCTACAAAGATTCTGGTCACGATGTCTCAGCCTGGCCGATAGAGAATCTGGTCACGATGCATTGGTCTGGCCTACACAGATTCTGGTCACGATGCCTCAGCCTGGCCTACAGAGATTCTGGTCACGATGTCTCGGTCTGGCCGATAGAGAATCTGGTCACGATGCATTGGTCTGGCCTACAGAGATTCTGGTCACGATGCCTCAGCCTGGCCTACAGAGATGCTGGTCACGATGTCTCAGCCTGGCCTAGAGATAATCTGGTCGTGACTTTATCCTTGAGACTAACTTCGTCTTGACAACTGGGGAGCATCTCACACGAACACTGAACTATAATGAAGCCTTAGGCTGGCTGGCTGTATGTATGCCACCCCTTGGTATTAGCACCGAACTATCCAACTCCTTGATCATTGGTTTTCTACCCTTCTATCTGGCAACAAAACTGACACCTTTTTTACAAGGAGTCATATTTACATAGACCACAATACCTGCGGTCGGAATGCAAACAAAAAACACAACTCTGATAATGTATACACTGTCCTTGAAATTGATTGGTCCACACCCGAGACAGCTTTTCTTAGAGCCTAGTCTCACATGGGCGTCATCTGGTCCAACACCATGTGAGACTAGGCTCTAAGGAAAGCTGTCTCGGGTGTGGACCAATCAACTTCAAGGACAGTGCACATTATCAGAGTTGTGTTTTTTGTTTGCATTATGACTGCAGGTATTGTGGTCTATGTAAACATGACTCATTTTAAAAAAGGTGTCAGTTTTGTTGCCAGATAAAAGGGTAAAAAAAACCAATGATCATATTTTTACTGGCAAATTAGGTTCCAATGGTATCCAACTCCTTAGTGTCTGGCCCACCCCGTGAGCTCTGATAGATGCCGAGGAAGCCTGCTATCTGGTGAGTGGGCCTCTCTCTCCGTGAGCGGAAAGGAAAAAATCTAAAACAAAAGATTGCTAACGTCGCATTTGAACTCCTTTATTTGATTTGAACACGCACGTAAAAAATATATATTTATACACATTACACATTTTTACACGGGCACAAAAAATAGAAAAACGTACGCTCAGATAAAAGTCCTGATTCGTTTACCTTTGCGTCCTAAATTAGCGTAATGCAGACCGTGCCGACATTCCAAGTCTCTGGTTTAAAAACATTGCCGCAGATTTAGATATTTGTTTTATATTTACAATGAATCCATTCAAATGAACGTTACAATGATGGTTTAACGCATATTAAGTAGTAGTTGCGATGTTATCCATAATAGAGGGTTTTTTGGGGGGGTTAGATCGCTTATAAAATATACAATGTGTCGTTAATAGCATCATTGCCCGACAGAGCAATGACGACTGATGAAACGACCCTTCGTGGTCAGGTGGGATGTGGAACAACAGCAAACCAATATATGTGTATCTGCTGTACTTTTATACAGTTTTGCGATGAATGTCGAGAGACAAACTATGTTTTGCTACAGGTTATGCCTGCCATTGTTCCACGCATGAAGCCAATGGTTTGTAGTTTCATTTGAACTCACTTTTCATGCCCACCTCTAACCATTATGAAAAAAACAAATATAACATTTTAATGATTCTCAGTATTATTCGATTTTATACTGCCAATATCATCCCGAAAGCATTTAAAACCAGCGTTCCTACTGTCACGTACATTAACACAATGTATTGGGACTGTATATAGGGTGCGGGATTTTTAAAAACAGAATCGTGGCTCCAGAAATCACGCGATTGGTTCTTTAGCACGTGACCGTGTCACATGCGCATTCAGTGAAATATACATTTTGTTATCAGAATTTAAGAATAGGTTTTACCTTTCTGGCAATAAAATAGAAATCTTTTGCAAGGAATCATGTCTGCATTAATCACACAGTACTTGTGGTGAAAATGCAAAATAAAAAACATGCTCTGGTAGTATATTATGCATTGTCTTTGAATCCGATTGGTCAACACCAGAGACAGCTTTCTTTAGAGCCTAGTCTCAAGCATTGTTAGACCAGAGGACTATGCCAAAAGGCGAACATTTTGTCACCTGTAAAAAACGATAAGATCACGTGGTACGAGCGACTCCCCAGGGCCACGTGGAGCTCTTCGAGGCCACGTGGCACGTCGGCCATATTGTTTCTCGACAACCGACGCCCCACCCGGAAAAAATATGTATTTTTAAAAAAGTAGTGCCACGCACGTTTCGCCAAACGTTAGAGCCTCTTTGTCTGTCTGTGTTCGGTTTTTGTTAAAGTGCAAAAAAGATCGGTTAGTGTTAAGCGTGGTGGGGGAGGGGGTAGGAGGAGATAATATAAAATATTGAGTCAAAGTAATCGGATAACATTGGGTCGGCGCAAACGGAGCGATCGTTCAGAGTCAACGTCATTGCGGAGAGAAAGGCCGGGGGGTGAGGGGGGAGGGAAAAGGGGGGCTGCCCCCCCCCCGCCCCACGCAGACCCCCTACCATTCTGATGGTAGCGCCCTGGTGTGGCACCACAGCCACACCATACCCACACCACCACACCGACACCACACCACACCAACTCACATCTCACCCAAACCACACCCACATCAGACCCACACCACACCAACCCACATCTCACCCACACCATATCCACACCACCACACCCACACCACACACCACACCACACCCACATCAGACCCACACCACATCCACACCACACACCACACCATACCCACACCACACCACACACGACACCATACCCACACCACACAGCATATCCACACCACACCACACACCACACCCCAGAGTACCTCCCAAAAACCTGCATGGGAAGATGCAGCAGCTGCTGCCCTCGGACGCAGGGCCGGATCTTTCAAAACGCGACAACCCCATTGATCAATCGCTCGCTACACCCCCATCGATCTATCGCGACACCAACCCACCATCGATCGATCACAACACCCTCCACCATCGATGGATCGATCGCGACACCCTCCACCATCGACAGATCGATCGATCGATCGCGACACCGCCCCGATTGGTCGATTGACGACGCCTACTGGCAACGGAACATGACGTGGCCTCTTCCAACAGAAGTTGGGAAATCTGGTGGGCGGATGCGAGGGGAGAGGAGGGAGTGTGAAGATATTGGTGGCTTTCTCAAGGTACCGCATCTTCCTCCTCCTCCCTTCCACTCCACCCCGCCCAGAAGGGCCTCTTCCACCAGAAGTTGGGAAACCTCTGGGTGGCGGGGAGGACAGGGCAGGGCAGGATGTGGTGGTTTTTGGCTTTCTCAAGGTGCCGCCTATTCCTCCTCCTCCCACTCCACTCCACTCCACCCCACCCAGAAGGGCCTCTTCCACCACAAGTTGGGAAGCCTCTGGGTGGCGGGCGGCTGGGAGGACAGGGCAGGGCAGGATGTGGTGGTTTTTGGCTTTCTCAAGGTACCGCATCTTCCTCCTCCTCCTCCCACTCCACTCCACTCCACCCAGAAGGGGCTCTTCCACCACAAGTTGGGAAACCTCTGGGCGGCGGGGAGGACAGGGCAGGGCAGGGCAGGATGTGGCGGTTTTTGGCTTTCTCAAGGTGCCGCATCTTCCTCCTCCTCCCACTCCACTCCACCCCGAAGGGCCTCTACCACCAGAAGATGGGTAACCTGGTTGGGCGGCGGGGAGGGGATGGTGTGGCCGTTTTGGCTTAGTCAAGGTGCCACCTTTTCCTCCTACTCTCACCCCACACCACCCCACTCCACCCCACACCACTCCACTCCACCCCACATCACCGAGTCTCTCACACCAGAAGATGGGAAACTTGCGGGCGGCGGGCGGCGGGCGGCGGGGAGGGCGGTGGTTTTTAGATTTCTCAAGGTGCCATCTCCTCTTCCTCCTACCACCTCACCACCACCACCACCAACCACCACCAACCACCAGACCCAACGAGACCACCACCACAGCGCCCGCTTAGGCTCAGCCTCGAACTCATTTCTTTGCCGCCGCTTCGCGTCACTCGAGGAGGAAGGATCCGAAGAAGCTGGCCTCCGGGTCGAAGTCGACGAGCGTCGGGTCGGACACGGCGATGAAGAGCTGGTCGCCTCGGCGCAGCGAGAACACGCCTCCCAGTTGCACAGAGTGGAGGCCGTACTGGGCGGAGGCCGACCAGCACTTGGTCTGTGCCGCTTTGGCGAGCAGCAGGGGCTTGGGGTAGTGGTCTGTGCGCTTGTAGAGGTAGAGCACCATCGTCTGGACCTGCCGCTGGCGGGCCGACAAATCGGATGCGGGACCGGAGGCCTCGTGATGGCCCCTGCAAGCGCACGGATGGACGGACAGAGACGTGTGGCTTCAGCGAGACAGTCTGAAACTTAATGTCGCATGGACGGAGGCGCAGACAAACAAACGGAAGGACAGAGACGTGTGGATTTAGTAGGACAGTTTGAAACAAATGTCGCGTGGACGGGCGCACGGACGAACAGACGGACGGACAGGGACGTGTGGATTTAGTAGGACAGTCTGAAACTTCATGTCGCATTGACGGAGGCGCAGACAAACAAACAAACGGACAGAGACGTGTGGATTCAGCGAGACAGTTTGAAACTTAATGTCGCATGGACGGGCGCATGGGCGAAGAAACAGACGGACAGAGACATGTGGATTTAGTAGGACGGTCCGAAGACAATCGTCGCATGGACGGGCGCACGGACTAACGGACGGACGGACAGGGACGTGTGGCTTTAGCGAGACGGTTCCGAAGACAAACGTCGCATGGACTGGACGCGCGGACCAACGGACGGACAGACATGTGTGGCTTTAGTCAGATGGTCCGAAGAAACACGTCGGACGGACATGACGATACGGGAGAGGGGTGCGCGCACGGACACGTTTGCCTTTCGTGGCTGCGGCCAGCCGAAGCCGCGCTGCCGCCCGCTGCCAGGGGTGTGGGGGGGGGGGGGGTGGGAGGTCGCCGTCCCTCACCTGTGCGAGTCCCCTTGCCGCGTGCTGAAGCGGAAGTAGGTCTGTGCATAGACGTAGTAGGAGCCGTGCTGCCGGGCCGTGAGCGTCGCGCCTGTGAAGTCCATGTGCTGCACGTGGACCGAGCCCAGCTTCTCCTCCCAGCTGTACAGCACCTTGCCGCTCTGAGCACCCAGCAGCTTCTGCAGGTGTTCGCCTGGAGTGGGAGATGGGGTGGGGTCGACGGGTACGTTCGGTTTCTCCCATCGGTGCCGCAGTTTTGCTTCTTGTTTGAACGGAACGGAAAAACTTGGCGAGGGCCACCTGGCCTCGGCACGCTCCGTGGCGGCTCGCGTTAACCGGGGTGAAGCGGCGTGGGGGGGTGGGTGGGGGTAGTCCCTGAGATGCGGCTGAACCGTGTGAAGGAGGAAATTTTTTTTTGAAAAATTGAAAAAAAGATGGGGGGGGGGGGCGGGGTGGTGAATGGGCCCCACTGCTGCCCCAACCAGGTGAGAGTAGCAATCACGTCGGGGGTGGGAAGGCGGGAAATTTCCAATGGGAGAATCAGAATCTGTATTTGTTACTGTGCAGGAGGAATCCGGTGGGCTGTGAAGATCTTTTTTTTGTTGCCGCCACAGATGTCCCAGTAGGGGCCACGTGGTTAAGAACGCTACAACAACAAACACGGCTGACCACCACGGAGAGAGACACCGCAAACTCCAAAATGTGCGGAGTAGTATGTTGATGCTGCTACTACAGCTGCCACTAGTCCCTTCTCAGAAAGTACAGAACTTTATGCGTTCGATAAACCGCCATGGTTCCCTGCGCACGACTGCGTATGTCAGGTCAGGCCCGGGACTTTGTTGTTGCATCAGCTGGGGAGGTCACGTTGAGAGGAGCAGCTTGCGACCCCAAGCCCGGGCGTCGCCATCGTCAGCAGAAGCAGTTAACGGGGCATTCCAGTTACGTATGGAGTTGCGTAGATATCCAGAGGGTTCCATAGAGATCCATAGGGTTACATAAAGATGCAAAGAGTTGCACAAAGATCTGCAGGGTTGCACAGAGACCGACAGCGTTAGAGATCAATGTCTCCATAGCGATATATAGAGTTACGTAGAGATGCATAGGATTACATGAAGATCTTATAGAGTTGCATAGATATCCACAACTTCAAAGGCAAGCTTGCATCCAAGGCCCCGTGTGTGTTCGTTGCTGTGTATAGTGTAGTGTATAGTGTAGTGTATAGTGTAGTGTATAGTGTAGTGTATAGTGTAGTGTATAGGAGTGTATGATGAGGGGTTGACAGGTATGTAGTTGTGTAGTGTATAGTGTAGTGTATAGTGTAGTGTATAGGAGTGTATGATGAGGGGTTGACAGGTATGTAGTTGTGTAGTGTATAGTGTAGTGTATAGTGTATAGTGTAGTGTATAGGAGTGTATGATGAGGGGTTGACAGGTATGTAGTTGTGTAGTGTATAGTGTAGTGTATAGTGTAGTGTATAGTGTAGTGTATAGTGTAGTGTATAGGAGTGTATGATGAGGGGTTTACAGGTATGTAGTTGTGTAGTGTGTAGTGTATAGTGTAGTGTATAGTGTAGTGTATAGTAGTGTATGATGAGGGGTTGACAGGTATGTAGTTGTGTAGTGTATAGTGTAGTGTATAGTAGTGTATAGTGTAGTGTATAGGAGTGTATGATGAGGGGTTGACAGGTAATACGGTCGCTCCCTCACCTTCACGAAGTTGCGTAACGGTGGCATCCCGCGGTTGCTTGCCCGTCACGTGAGCGATCGGCCGTTTTCTGGAGGCCGTGTGACCCAAACCGCCCAATGGGGACGCAGGATTCGACGACGAAGCTGAAGGCGAACAGTGGTGGCGGAAACAACAACAACAACAAAAACTTAAAACGCGGTGACATTTAGACGTAAGAATATACTATCGGAGCATGTTTTTTTGTTGTTGCATGTTCACCGCAATTATATGTGGTTAATGCAGACATGATTCCTTGCAAAAGGTTTCAGTTTGGTGTATTAACATCTTGACACAACTGTGTTATTGCCACAAAGGGGATAACCTATTCTTATATTTTGATACCGGCAAGGGAGGTCCCGTGATTACATTTAGACACTCGGGCCCGTAGCTTTGTGCGTGCACGCGTGCATAGATTGCGACTGAAACGCAAATGTTTAAACTCGATAAAGTTAATCTACGGGGTTTGTCGTGGTAAATTTGTGTGTAAAGGAGGCCATCTTGACTGCAATGGGAACAAAATGGCCGACGTTACCATAGCGATGATGTTTAAGCAATTACTTTGAAGAGTGTGCGATTTTTATTGCACAGAGCAAATCGTTCAAAGATTTATGTTCATTATTAACTTGACCTTGTCATCGTGACGAGATTTTAATTGAGGGAATATGAGAGAGATGAGTAGCAACCACCAATAGGGGAAACAAAATGGTCGACGTCGCCTTAGCGACGGGAGCTTTAAAGAGTTTAAAATTGGATTACGAGTCTCATTTATTCTCATTAAAACTGCACTGGTTACAACTCAATGCAGTTTTGTATCGTTTTGTTGTTGTTGTTTATTAAGAATGTAACATACCTGCAATCGGGTCACCAAGTTGGCTTGACATGATTTCTCTTGATTTCTGCAAACAGACGCCCGTAACATTAAAACCCTCCGTCCCACTCATCACCACCATTCACCATCGACAAAGACAAAGATCCCCCGCGTAGCCTTTAACGCGCTGTCGGGGCAAGTGCTGTTCGTGAGCAGCGTCTATGAAGGCCGCCACTGTGGCACGCACGAGGTCGATGGACATCACCACCTGCCACACACCGCACCAGGTGACTCATTTGAGGCTGAGTCGACCTAGGGGGAGGCCCAGGACCGGTTCAGATAATCGTCACTGGCGGTGTTGGCCGTGAGCGGGAATCGAACCCGGGTCGCCGGGTTCGTAGCATAGCGCTAACCGCTACACAACCGCTACACACCCACAACAACAACAACAACCGCCATTCGCCACTAAGTGGCGGTGACGTCACCACGACGCTTGTGCCAGGCCATGTGCACGTTGAGGCCACGTGAAGTGTCGAACGCCCGCTGGCAGGAGGCCACGGGGCAGACCCAGCAGGTGCCACGGGTCGACTGACACACAAGCACACGCACAGACAAACACACACACACATGTACACGCACACGTACACACGTACACACGTGCGCACACACGTACACACGTACGCAGGTGTGAACCCTCACCTTTGCGATATGATTGTCCATGTAATAGAGGAATTCTTGGCACAAGAGGTCGTCGCTGTCGGTCAACGAGAGGCATTTTTGCAGCTTCGTCGCGGATTCCTGACGCACCTACGTGTCGGAATTACAGAAAAAAGTGCGAGGCATGTTAACAAATCATCACCACCACCACGATCCAAGGGCAGATAAACCGTAGGTGTCCCACCGCATATGTCGTCGTCTGTTTTACACGTTTATCTCTGTGTGTGTGTGTTGTTGTGCCAAGATGCTTTACTTCATCAGGTGTCTGCGTGTGTCTCTCCTTCTCATCATCACGGTGGCTAGGAGATGTTGACTACCTCGCCTGGTCTACAGGATGTCGTGGGTTAGATCCTGACGATGCCTGCTGCTGTATATTTGTAGTTTGCGTGTCTCTCTCTCTCATCATCATCATCACGGTGGCTAGGAGATGTTAACTACCTCGCCTGGTCTACAGGAGGTCGTGGGTTCGATCTCGACCCCTGACGCCTGCTGTATATTTGGAGTCTGAGTCTCTCTCTCACTCATCATCACCACGGTGGCTAGGAGATGTTGACTACCTCGCCTGGTGTGCAGGAAGTCGTGGGTTCGATCCTGACCCCCTTACGACGCCTGCTGCTGCTGCTGTATATTTGCAGTCTGCGTGTCTCTCTCCTCGTGGTCGCGTGGATTTTTGTTCTCCGGGTCCTCCGGTTTATCCCTCCACGTTTAGAATCAACAGTCACGCGTTGAGATTATTGAGATTATTTTTGACTGCTCATAAATGGTTCCAATTGATTGATGGTGGCCACTTTTGCTGAACTGTCATTTTTGGTGGCCAGATCGCTTCTGAACAAATGTGTTCATATTCTTAGGTTTTTTCGGTAAAGTCACGTAGGTAAAAAAATCAAAATTATTAAAAGTAAAATGAAAAAATTAATTTTTTATTAACTTTTATTAAATTTAAAAAAAAAACCTAAGAATATTAATAGTTGCAGCCACGAAAGCTTCAAATCTAGAAAAAATGTGTTCATACCCTCGGTGGGACTTTGCCTGGTAGGATGTGGGATGGTTTAGTGATGTATTGTTTGTGTGTGTCTGGGTGACTTGTGTTGACCTTTCATGTACTTTGCACTACCGTCTAATCGTGTTGTTGTCGTTACGTTCTTACCCTGTGGCCCCTGACTGGGACATCAGTGACAGGAATAGCTCTGTAGCTTATTGGATTCCTCGTGCAGTATATACATGAATAGTCTGACATTTGTATAATTATCATCACGGTCCGCACCCACTCCATTATGTGCGACTGCACTCATCCAGGACATAGAGCTGCATGTGCATTTTCGCTCGCACCAAAGTTTGAAAACGTAAAAATAGGTTTCGCAAAAGGCGCCAGTGAAGATGTTCCGACCGCAAACAGCTGATATGCTTCTTCTTGGTTCTTTCGGTAAAGTCACGTAGAAGGGAAATAATAAAATAATAAAATAAAACATAATCAAATAATTCTCACGACGTTTCGGCCACAATGCAAGCAGCCGTCCTCAGGTGAAGAACAGGTAGAATCAACGCGTTGAAGACAGACCTGTTCTTCACCTGAGGACGGCTGCTTGCGTTGTGGCCGAAACGTCGTGAGAATAATTTTATTATGTTTTATTTTATTTATTTTATTATTTCCCTTCTACGTGACTTTACCGAAAGAACCAAGCAGATGAATCCCTGCAGTCACGAAAGCTTTAAATCTAAATATAATATTATTATATTATTGTTTTATTTTATTATATTATTATAATATTTTATTTTATTTTTTTATTATATCATGTTTTTATATTAATAAGTTGTATTTTTATTCTTTTATTATTTCCCTTCGATGTGACTTTACCGAAAGAACCAAGCAGATGAATCCCTGCAGTCACGAAAGCTTTAAATCGAAATATGATATGGTTCTTGCGTGGAATCAAGTTTTGCGTTAATCACACACGGTACTCGTGTGTGCTGATCTTTAAAAGTGCATTGATACATTTGTGATACTCCTACTGATTGATACTCGTGCTCTTATGGAGTGACTCATGCTGCCAGCGATGGCCTGCAAAGTGTGGTCGTACGTGTTATGGATTTATTTTTCGATTTAAAGCTTTCGTGACTGCAGGGATTCATCTTCTTGGTTCTTTCGGTAAAGTCACGTAGAAGGGAGATAATAAAATAATAAAATAATAAAATAATTCTCACGACGTTTCGGCCACAACGCAAGCAGCCGTCCTCAGGTGAAGAACAGGTCTGTCGGGGAGACAGAGTCTGATTTATTGTTAAATTTTAATCACGGTTCCTGTGATCGTTGTTGTTACATTGTTTTTTGTCGCTTTGTTTTGGTGATTTCGAAAACGTTTTGGTTTAGCCACGTTTGTTTGTTGTAGTACAGAGTTAGACTGGTAACTTTAATCTAAATTGGCTTACGATCCATCTTCTTGGTTCTTTCGGTAAAGTCACGTAGAAGGGAGATAATAAAATAATAAAAATAGAACATAATAAAAAAATACAATTGTATTATTTTATTGTTTTATTTTTATTATTTATTTTATTATCTCCCTTCTACGTGACTTTACCGAGAATAAAAATAGAACATAATAAAATAATACAATTGTATTATTTTATTACGTTTTATTTTTATTATTAAATTATTATCTCCCTTCTACGTGACGACTTTACCGAAAGAACCAAGAAGATGAATCCCTGCAGTCACGAAAGCTTTAAATCGAAATTATCTTACGGTTGTTATTGTTTGACTTGCATCCCACTGGGACTTTTTTGCACGCAGCGTTGAAACGCTGTGCTTTTTTCTGGAAGACGTTGCTGCTTTTTCCTGGATTTCCCTGTTGCGTCGTCCTCACTTTAAGATGTTTCTTTGTTCACGTGTTTGTCTGTTGCGGTTGCACCCGATTCAAGAGCCGCATGGCTCACAGGGCTACACCAAATACATGAAACTGAACTTGTGAACATGCAAAAAACATTGCTCTGACGAAGATGATGATGATGATGATAATATTTGGGCATCGTCTTTGAAACGGACCGGTCTACACCAGATGATTGCAGCCGCCGTCTTGATGACCCAGTCTCAGCAGCAGTGTCAGGCCAGAGGGGGGCAAAGCCTCAAAGACGAACAGCACAAGGACAATGCCCGTGTGAGTGCATTCTGGGACCTCGCCCCAATAGAGACAAAGATCCCCCGTGTAGCCTCTAACAGGCTGTGGGGGCAAGTGCTGCGAGTAGCAGCAGCACTTATAGACACACAGATAAAGGTCCCCCGTGTAGCCTCTAACAGGCTGTGGGGGCAAGTGCTGTTGGTAGCGAGCAGCACCTATAGACACACAGACAAAGGTCCCCCGTGTAGCTTCTAACAGGCTGTGGGGGCAAGTGCTGCGAGTAGCAGCAGCACTTATAGACACACAGATAAAGGTCCCCGTGTAACCTCTACCAGGCTGTCAGGGCAAGTTTTGTGCAGTGCCGGGAGTCGAACTCGTCTCGTTTCTGCCTCGGGGTTCGTAGCACACACAGAGACAATGATGCAATCACACACCCACCCCTCACTCACTCCCCCCTCGCCCACCCCCTCATCCACCCACCCACCCACTCACTCACCCACTGACTCACCCACTCACTCACCCACCCACTGAACCACTCACCCACCCACTCAACCACTCACCCACCCACTCAACCACTCACCCACCCCTCACTCGCCCGCCCCCTCGCTCCCCCCACCCCCTCACTCACCCCCCACCCCCTCACCCACCCCCTCGCCCACCCCCTCATCCACCCACCCACCCACTCACCCACCCACTCAACCACCCACCCACCCACTCAACCACCCACCCACTCACTCAACCACTCACCCACCCACTCAACCACTCACCCACCCACTCAACCACTCACCCACCCACTCACTCACCCGTCCCCTCGCTCACCCACCCCCCCCACCCACTCACACACCCCCTAACCCCCCTCACCCCCCACCACTGCGGTGTTTACGAGTTTTGACTGCCCTGGAAATCCCCAGGTCTGAGCGAAGCGACTTTTGAGTTGAACAATACAGCCAACTTCCTCATTCGCGACATTTAAGTTTGAATGCTCCCCTCTGCACAAAGGACCCCCCCCCCACCACCACCACCCCCTCCATCCCCTCCACCCCCTTGGCGTATCCCCTTTATCGAACCCTTTCGGGCAAGGGGGTTTTGGGGGCAGCTAGTGTGAGGTTTGAATACTGTTTTTAAAAAAATATTTTTTGGTTTATTCCAGGATTCATACTCTTAGGTTTTTTTTCGGTAAATTCACGTAGGTAAAAAATTAAAATTAATAAAAGTAAAATAAAACAAATTAAAAATTAAAAAATTATAAAAATTCACGACGTTTCGGAAGCAACACAATTTTTTTACCTATTTGGTGACTTTACCGAAAAAACCTAAGAGTATGAATCCTTGCAGTCACGAAAGCTTCAAATCTTGAATTATTCCAGGATGTTTCTGTTTGCGCGTCGTCACTTTAAGATGTTTCTCTGTTCGTATTCTTGTTTGTTGTGGTTGTTGTGTTTGTTGTGGTTGTTGTGGTTGCACCAGACTTAAGAGCCGCATGGCTCACGGGGCATTACCAACTAAATAAAACTTGAAACTTGAAAAAGTTCCAGTGGCGTGGTTACCGTGCAGGCGAAGACGTCGCGAGTTCATTCATTATTAAATAAATGTTGTTGTTGCTGTTGTTGACCAATCTCATTGGTGGGTGGCTACGTACGGTGCTAAAGAAGTCCAGCACACACACACACATTAGCACGTTTGGCTCCGAGGCAAACGCCACAATTGGCAGAAGAAGGCCCCACGCCTATTGCTGGGCCAGTAACGAATGTTTAGACTCTGGTGTGTTGCATGTCTATGTATGGTAGTGGCGTCTCTCTCTCCTATCTCTCTCCTAACTCTCTCTCCTATCTCTCTCCTAACTCTCTCTCCTATCTCTCTCTCCTAACTCTCTCTCCTATCTCTCTCCTAACTCTCTCTCTCCTATCTCTCTCCTATCTCTCTCTCCTAACTATCTCTCTCCTATCTATCTCTCTCCTATCTCTCTCCTAACTCTCTCTCCTATCTCTCTCCTATCTCTCTCTCCTAACTATCTCTCTCCTATCTCTCTCCTATCTCTCTCTCCTATCTTTCTCCTAACTCTCTCTCTCTCTCCTATCTCTCTCCTAACTCTCTCTCCTATCTCTCTCCTAACTCTCTTTTCTATCTCTCTTTTTTTATTTTCGGTGTAGTCAGCACTTTGCTTCGTTCATAATTTTTTTCTTTTTTTTTCAATGTTTTGCTTTATGTGCCCCCTCCCCCACCCCCTTTTTAAATTAAATATTTCACAAAATATTTACTGTGTGCCCCCCCCCCCCCACTCTCTCTCGTTCCCTCTCAATCTCTCTCTTTTTTTTCTCTCACTCCTATCTCTCTCCTATCTCTCTCCTATCTCTCTCCTCACTCCTATCTCTCTCCTCACTCCTATCTCTCGTATCATCTCTCCTATGAGAGATGATACGAGAGAGAGAGACGCCACGACCTTACATAGACATGCAACACAACAAAATCTAAACATTCCATTGGGCCCAGCAACAGTCCTGACCCAGCAAATCCATTCGCTCCATCTTCAGGAAACTGTGGGTGGGGTGGGGGGCCTCTTGCCTGGCTAACAAGCGCCGTGACCTCAAAACGATGAGAAAGATGCTGCAAAGTGACACTGACGGCCGCTCTGTGCTGCTTCCAGTGTTCAGGGGCCTGCTCAAGGCGCGGCTCCGGCTGGAGCACGCCACGTACCACACACGTGTCGGTGATGTGCACGTCTTCTTCGAACGCTGGGGGGCCGGACAAGCCCCTCTATGTACCAGCGTGGACGGCACCCTCGTGGTGTTCACCTTCTGATGAAGCGCTCGCTCGTCACCGTGGCGTGCGCGATGACCACCACCACTGCCACCACCACCACCACCACCTTCACCACCACCTCCACCACCATCTCCACCACCACTTCATCCACCTCCACCACCATCTCCAACACCACTTCAACCACCTCCACCACTTCCACCACCTCCACTACCACCACTTCCACCACCACCACCTCCACCACCACCTCCACCACCATCTCCACCACCACTTCATCCACCTCCACCACCATCTCCAACACCACTTCAACCACCTTCACCACTTCCACCACCTCCACTACCACCTCCACCACTTCCACCACCACTTCAACCACCTCCACCACTTCCACCACCTCCACCACCACCTCCACCACTTCCACCACCTCCACCACCACCTCCACCACTTCCACCACCTCCACCACCACCTCCACCACTTCCACCACCACCACTTCTACCACCTCCACCACCACCACTTCCACCACCATCACAACCACCAGCACCACCACCACCGCCACCACCAGCACCACCGCCACCACCACCACCACCATCACAACCACCACCGCCACCACCAGCACCACCACTTGACTTTTCTTTCGTGTTGTGCGCGGTGCATTTAGTGCCACAGCCGCGTGGATTTATAGCGATTGTTCATTTGTGTTGCTGGTGACTTTGTGCGTTTTTTCGTATCGGAATCGCCTCCAGTGTTGTTGCTGCTGCTGGCGGCAATAAAAGTTGTTTAAAAGTCTCAAAGTCTCTCCCCTCTCTCTCCCCTATCTCTCTCCCCTATCTTGATCATCATCGCTGGTGTTGACAAAGACAAAGGTCCCCCGTGTAGCCTCTAACAGACTTTCGGGGCAAGTGCTGTGAGTAGCGAGTAGCAGCTATAGACACACAGGCAAAGGTCCCCCGTGTAGCCTCTAACAGACTTTCGGGGCAAAGTGCTGTGAGTAGCGAGTAGCAGCTATAGACACACAGGCAAAGGTCCCCCGTGTAGCCTCTAACAGACTTTCAGGGCAAAGTGCTGTGAGTAGCGAGTAGCAGCTATAGACACACAGGCAAAGGTCCCCCGTGTAGCCTCTAACAGACTTTCGGGGCAAGTGCTGTGAGTAGCGAGTAGCAGCTATAGACACACAGGCAAAGGTCCCCCGTGTAGCCTCTAACAGACTTTCGGGGCAAGTGCTGTTAGTAGCGAGTAGCAGCTATGGACACACAGACAAAGGTCCCCCGTGTAGCCTCTAACAGACTTTCGGGGCAAGTGCTGTGAGTAGCGAGTAGCAGCTATAGACACACAGACAAAGGTCCCCCGTGTAGCCTCTAACAGACTTTCGGGGCAAGTGCTGTGAGTAGCGAGTAGCAGCTATAGACACACAGGCAAAGGTCCCCCGTGTAGCCTCTAACAGACTTTCAGGGCAAAGTGCTGTGAGTAGCGAGTAGCAGCTATAGACACACAGGCAAAGGTCCCCCGTGTAGCCTCTAACAGACTTTCGGGGCAAGTGCTGTGAGTAGTGAGTAGCAGCTATAGACACACAGACAAAGGTCCCCCGTGTAGCCTCTAACAGACTTTCGGGGCAAGTGGTTGTCAGCCCCTCTGCAAGCCGGCACTGTGACACACACAGAGGGGGTGGGTGACCGGCACCACGCCCGGCCGCCTTTGTCTCTCCCCCAGTGGTCGACGTTTTGACTTCACACAAGAGGCTCAACACGCACACACACACACACAGCCACGGTTGGCTACGCGCTTCGCGAACGACGTTCAAGGTCACTCACCTTCTGCAGGGAGAGCGTGAAGTAGCCAACGAAACTGGCGGTCGCGAGCAGTTGCAGCAGCACGAGGGTCAGAGCGACCACCACCAGCCTCTTGGTGGTGGTGGTGGTGGCCGTGGTGGTGGTGCAAGCTACGGATTTGATTGACACGAGTGGCAACTCTGAGCCAGATCCATCGCTACTGGTGCTACTGGTGCTGCTACTGGTGCTGTTGTTTCGGCCGCTGACGCCACTTTCGACAAAGGAGGCATCACTCCAAGTTGACTTCGAAGCCATTTTGCTCTGCTCCGTGTCTCTTCTCGGATGCAGGCTTGGGGTGTCCCGGTGGCACGCCTGTGTTGGGAGCCGTGGGATGCGTTGGGATGTGTGGGATGTGTGGTGTGGGATGTGTGGTGTGGGATGTGTGGTGTGGGATGTGTGGTGTGGGATGTGTGGTGTGGGATGAATGGGATGTGTGTGAGTGTGGAGGGAGCCAATTGATCGCTTGGCTCACAGCTGTGGCAACACTCGGCACACACCACCACCACCAACACCACCACTGTCTGCCCGCATGTGTCAGAGTGGTTGTGGTTGTTGTTGTTGTTAACTGTTGCACTTAAGAAGTGCAACAGTCAACAACAAACAGCGTCGCCTGCGCGCGCGCGCGTGCGTGTGTGTGTGTGCACGCGCGTGCGTGTGTGTGTTTGTTGTTGTGTTGTTGTGTTGTTGTGTGTGTGTGTTGTCCTGTGGCTGAGCACAATGCATTAATAGCGCTCGGTCCGAGTGTGCTGCGTGGTATGATGATGATGATGGTGGTGATGGTGATGATGGTGATGATGATGATGGTGGTGGTGATGATCTGATGCACACACGCACGCGCTCACACACACAGAGAAAAACCCAAAACGCACCAACGCTTATATACTTTGGAAGCCACTCCCATTTGAAACGCGTCACATTTCAGCCACTCACCATTTCAGGCACTCAAGGGCCTTACTTTGCATGCTAAGGAAATGAGAGTGCTCTCACGATAAAGTTGGGGAGGGGGATGTTTTGTTTTGGAGAGGTTTATATTTCGATCGCGTAAAGCGTGGATCTTGGAAGATGCGTCAACGTAAATTTACGCGATCTAACCCCTAACCAACATCCAAACAGACGATAAAAACCACCCACACACACACACACACGTACCCACCTGTGTTGTGTGTTGTAGGTGATATTGGTGACGAAATCATCCTCCTCCGAGCAGCGCCGCATGAAGTTATAGTGTGGGTCCTGGAAGATACGATGTTATAAAGGGGGCCCTAGATTTAAATTAAAAAAACACATAAATATGAAAAAAAATATTCTTGGTTCTTTCGGTAAAGTCACGTAGAAGGGAAATAAAAATGTTTTTAAATATTTTTTCATCTTGTAAAATTAAAATATTTAAATTAATAAAATAATATTAATGTAAAATATTATTTTTATTATTTCCCTTCTACGCGACTTTACCGAAAGAACCAAGAATATGAATCCCTGCAGTCGCGAAAGCTTTAAATCAAAATATTAAAACACATTAAAAAACATGTAACTCACGCAATAAACTTATTGTATGTTTTTAATTTGCTATACAGCCGGATATTACGACAAATCGTTAACCTTAAACACCCGGTCGTTCGTAAAACTCGAAGGACGGTATAGTACTATCAAGTTCAAGTTCATTGATTAGATGTAGCCCTGTGAGCCGTTCGGCTCTTGAATCGGGTGCAACCGCAACAAACAAAAAACAAAAACATGAACAAGAAAACATCTTCAAGTGACTAAGTGCAAACAGAAAATCCAAGAAAAGACAGCAAAATGTTGCAGAAAAAGCACCGTACACCAACGCTGCGTGCAAAAATCCCAGTGGGATGCAAGTCAAACAACAACAACAACAACCACAAGACAACTTTGATTAAGGCCATCAGTCTTACTCCGTACTACAACAAAACAAACATGGCCAAATAAAAAAACCTTTCTAAAATCACCAAAATAAAGCCATAAAAGTCAAACAACAACAATAACAACAACCACAAGACAACTTAGATTAAGGCCATCAGTCTTACTCCGTACTACAACAATACAAACATGGCTAAACCAATACACTTTTCGAAATCACCAAAATAAAGCCATGAAAGCAATGAAACAGTGATCATAGGAACTGTGACGGAATTTTCACAATAAATGACATAAACAACATGTACTACCAAAACCCTGCAGCCATAGCTGGCTGTATGAGTCACTCCACAACAGCAGGAGCATCAGTCGGAGTATCATAATTTTTCAATGCACCTTTAAGATCAGCACACTAAATCAAAACACAGGTCATACTTTGCAGCGATCATCCGGAGCGAAACATTTTATTTTAGGCCACTGAATATCACTGGCAGCTAGGGGTGTACAACTCCTCTAGAGCATCTTCTTGGTTCTTTCGGTAAAGTCACGTAGAAGGGAAATAATAAAATAATAAAAAATTAAACATAATTAAATACAATTCTCACGACGTTTCGGCCACAACGCAAGCAGCCGTCCTCAGGTGAAGAACAGGTCTGTCGGGAAGACAGCGTCTAAATATACGGTCCAAGCCTGGGGGTGTTTCATTCAGACGCTGTCTTCCCGAAAGACCTGTTCTTCACCTGAGGACGGCTGCTTGCGTTGTGGCCGTAACGTCGTGAGAATTGTATTTTATTATGTTTTATTTTTATTCTTCTATTATTTCCATTCTACGTGACTTTACCGAAAGAACCAAGAAGATGAATCCCTGCTGCAGTCACGAAAGCTTTCACTCGAAAATCCTCCAGAGCAGTTTTGAGTGAAGATCTTATAGGTAGTGAATCAAGTTGCAATTTATTGGCAACAGCATTCCAGACCCTGGAGCAACAGAGAAAGTGCAGAATCACTGAATCGGAATTGATAGTTCTCGATTCGAAGTTTTCGTGACTGCAAAGATTCATACTCGTAAAGTCACGTAGGTAAAAGAATTAAAATAAATTAAATCACGACGTTTCGGGCACAACACAAGCAATAATTCTAGATTTGAAGCTTTCGTGACTGCAAGGATTCATATTCTTTGCAGTCACGAAAGCTTCAAATCTAGAATTAATGCCCTCTACGGGGAGGAATTCCACCGATCTGTTAAAGTTTTTAACAGACAACGAGACAAGAAGTCACAGCTTCTCGAGACGATGTTTTACCTACGTGACTTTACCGAAAAAACCTAAGAACACAAGCAATCATCATCAGGTGGGGATAACTTAGCGAAAGCACAACACACTTAAGCGGTATGAAATCAGAGGTCGCAACCGGGTACCCGATACCCGTACCCTACCCGAAACCCGGCTACCCGTACCCGGCCGGGTACGGGTAGCCGTTTGCGACCCTGGTGCGGCCGGGTACGGGTACGGGTAACGCCGTGAGTCACTGGTGAGTAACTAGATTTGAAGCTTTCGTGACTGCAAGTCACGTAGGTACCTACGTGACTTTACCGAAAAAACCTAAGAATATGGTGAGTAACTGTTTGTCACTAATTTCGGGTAGGGTACGGGTAGGGAACGGGTACCCGTACCCGGCCGGGTACGGGTATCCATTTGCGACCCTGGTGCGGCCGGGTACGGGTAAGGAATCAAAACCCGTTTGCGACCTCTGTATGAAATACATTAAATCGCGACGTTTCAATTGCAACACAAGCAATCATCATCAGGTGCGCAAAACCACAGCAAGAAACTTTTGATAGCTTGAAAGCGTTGCGCGCGGGGAGCGGTGGCGTCGTGGTTAGCGCAGAGCCACGGACCCGGCTAAGACCCGAGTTCGATTCCAGCTCACAGCCTACACCACCGGTGGTGACGATGATCTGAACCGGTACCTGCGGCCTGCCTTAGGTTGGCTCAGCCTGAGATGAGTAACACGGTGTGCGTGTGTGTGTGTAGTAAACGTCGCCAACTGGGGAGACAAAGGCGGCCGGGCGTGGTGCTGGCCACCCACCCCCTCGTGTGCCACAGCGCCGGTAACCTTCATAGACGCTGCTCGCTACTAACAGCACTTGCCCCAACAGTCTGTTAAAGGCTACACGGAGGATCTTTGTCTTTGTTGCGTGTGACGGGTGTCTGTGTGTGTGTGTGTGATGTAGATGGAGTGATGTGGTACAGGAGGACGTGGAGCTGAGTGGACTTGCCGATGACTGGTACCAGCGGTGTCAAGATCGGCCTCAGTGGAGGAGGCTCGTGAAGGACGCTACTGGGCAATTGGAGGCAGTCGCCCTCCAACAACAACGGAGGGCGGAGGAGCGACGCTCACAACAACGAGCGGAGCGCCGGGTGTCTAAAGCACAGCAAGTTGGCACAGTGGGGGGCACAGGTGGTGCATCAGCCAGTCATCTCGTTCATCTCGGTCAGTCGACCCGTGGCACCTGCTGGGTCTGCCCCATGACCTCCTCCTGCCAGCGGGCGTTCGACACTTCACGTGGTAGCCTCAAGGTGCACATGGCCTGGCACAAGCGTCGTGGTGACGTCACCGCCACTTAGTGGCGAATGGCGGTTTTTGTTGTTGTTGTTGGTGTGTGTGTGTGTGAGAGAGACCTATGGGGAGCGGTGGTGTAGCGGTTAGCGCGCTGCACTACGAACCTGGTGACCCGGGTTCGATTCCCGCTCACGGCAAACACCAGTGACGATTATCTGAACCGGTCCTGGGCCTCCCCTAGGTCGACTCAGCCTCAAATGAGTACCTGGTTCGGTGTGTAAACATCGCCGCTAGGGAGACAAAGGCGGTCGGGCGTGGTGCTGGCCACCCACCCACTCGTGTACCGTTCCGGCCTTCATAGGTGCTCGCTAACAGCACTTGACCCTACAGTCTGTTAAGGCCAGCCTCACATGTCTTCGTAATCGGTGGGATATTTGTCTCCGTGATTGTGAAAAAGTGGAAGTCAGAGGTCGCTTCGATTCGCAGAAAGAGGAACCCACTTATTTGCCATCATTTTGAGAAGCCCTAAAGGGGAGATTGACCCTCCCCCCCCCCCCCCAATAAAACGCGTGGGTAGCTGCCTGGATGTAGCATCATCAGCCGTTGTGCAGTTCCCAGAAAGAGGTTATTTTGTAGCAGCAACAGCACCCACACCAGGGGGCTCCTCAACTTACGAACAACACATACACCATGTGCTCCTCTACTTACGAACATCACACACCAAGGATCCTCAACTTACGAACACACACGCGCACACCAGCGTGCTCCTCTACTTACGAACAGCACACACCAAGGATCCTCAACTTACGAACGCACACACCAAGGGCTCCTCGACTTACGACTGAGAGGTCTGCTCGTAAGTAGGTTCTTAAGTCCAACTTTACTCCTGACGATTCCAAACTCGTTGTACTCAACATTATACACTACTACATTACATTATACACTACTACACTACATTATATACTACAAAACTACATTATAGACTACTACTCTCCATTATACACTACTACACTACATTATACACTACTACACTACATTATACACTACTACTCAACATTATACACTACTACATTACATTACATACTACTACACTACATTATACACTACTACACTACATTATACACTACTATGCTACATTATACACTACTACACTACATTATACACTACTACACTACATTATACACTACTACACTACATTATACACTACTACACTACGTTCACGTTCTGCAGATGTAGATGCCACTGGTTCTTCACGTTCTGCAGATGTAGATGCCACTGGTTCTTCACGTTCTGCAGATGTAGACGCCACTGGTTCTTCACGTTCTGCAGATGTAGATGCCACTGGTTCTTCACGTTCTGCAGATGTAGATGCCACTGGTTCTTCACGTTCTGTAGATGAAGA